ATGATATGAATCATGAAAGTGAGAAAAAAAATCGTGGTGGGTGATAGACTGTTTATGTTAAAAAAAAAAAAAAACTGTTTAATAAACTTGAAATGCGTAATACTATGCGGAATTTTTTTTTTTTTTTTTTGGCTAAAGGTATAAAAACGGCATTCAACGACAAAACAAGTGTCACCTTCAGATGTGCACAAATGTAATTATATTCGTATACAGATCAATATTTATACGTATAAAGACGTATAATTAATAAACGGGGTATTGTCGATTTGTTGATAAAATTGTTGAAGTGCGAAAAACCAGCATATAAGTATCATTTCGGCTGAAGCATCTTCTTTTCCTTGAAAAATTGAAAAAAAAAAAAAATGGAAAAAAACTTGTTACTTCCGCGGTTGAGCAGCACCCTACAAAAATTGACCAGGATGTTTTTCGCAAAATTTTAAACTGGTCTATCACACCAATTTTAAACAGCATTGTTTATTGCGCTTGCATAAATCTGTTTCCTATATGGATTATCATATCCACTTTTGTTATCTATTTATTTATTTTTTCTCTTTCTTGTTGTTCTTGTTGGTTTCTTCCAAACAGAACTTGATTGTAAACATTTAAAAGTTACCCTAAAAAGAAAAAAAAAATAAAAATTTTTATACAATGACTAACAGATGTTAAATTATTTGTTTAATGAACAACAACAACAGTTTAATGATGAATAAAGTACTGAAAAAACAAACCTCTTTTGTTATCCGTTTAAAATCACTGAAAACTAGATGCAACGAGAAAATGATGTACAAATTTTCGTACAACCACAGTAAGCTAAATTTAACGCCATTAACTGTCATTGTGGTAATTTACCTTAACAAAACAGCTGTTTAAACGTTAATTTATTCTTCAAAACGGTATAAACTAATAATAAATACAATAAAATTACACATATCCATACTGTATACGATACAAATTATGTATTCATTAAAGTTGTTCGTTATGGTCAATTAGCAATGAGTAAAAAGCCTATTCGCTTCAAATGCTTCCATGAGAGGCATCTTTTGATTCTAAAGCCTTACTCATTCCTCTAGTTTACAGCATGTTTTTTTTTTTTTCATGAATTAATTGTACTTCTCCTCATTTTCTAGACACTTTATCAGTTTCTTCACTCCTACCTTCTACAATTCTAGGTTCAGTAGCGTGCCTATAATGATAAGTAATTTTTATAAACGACCATATTTGGCGTAGGTGCGTAGACAGTTTTATGTGAAAAGATCTGAGCTATCTAGGCAAAAGATGAGTAGAAATTATGTGGTTGTTTCTAGCGTACAAACTAATTGAAAACGAAGTAAAGACTCTATATACAAAAAGGTCTACAACGAAAAGGAAAGGAAACGCAGTTTAATATGGCAAGTATGAATTACAACAGCCTTTAAAACTGACATCTGTGCTGCAATGATGATTTTTCAACTAAACCAAATTACTATTTTACCTACGGTCACCCTTACAATCATAGACAAGAATATTTTATATCTATGAGCTATTTATAAGCATTCTGGTAGTAAACACTGTATGTTAACAAAGTAAAAAAGCTCTCAAGTTTGGTAAGTGACAAGTGTAATAAGAATAGAGAAATAGGTAGCAGAAAACTCTTCTAGTCATAAAATTTTGTGAAACCTCCCAATTTCTGCTACTTTTACATCAAAGTCATAGAACAGAGGAAGAAGTATAAATGCATTTTAGATAGGCATATAAAATACTGTAGGATTTTGCAGTCCTCCTCATTAACCAATTTTTCTCATCCTCCCTATAGAAACTTCCATTGACAAACAATCTTCCTCATTGACCCTTGGTTGAAATCCCTAGACAGAAATACTCACAAAAATAACAACCCTAATTATGTGCCCACCAAAACAAAACCTTACTACTACCAGTAGCTTTTCTGCAAACTTTAATACTTCATTAATGCTGAAGTCAGCTGAATATATTTAAAGTTAAAAACAATATAAAAAATTATTTGTACTTAAAATAAGCTATAAACGAAATAATTATAGAACCTTTCGGGTCAGAAGAAATAAAATTTTCTAAACACTGCACCCACTTCGTGTTTATTCTTCAAGACGAGTGAGGTAATCAAGTTTACAGTTTTGAATTTACTTGTTTGATCACCAATGTTTGACCTAAGAGACATTAGATCAATTAGTTTAAAAGATTCTCTTGAAAATATTATCAAAAATTGACAATAGCACAACAACACTTCCAGAATAAAATAATTTATACATGCTTCTTATAAATGTTTCAAAAAAGATTTTTACAAAGAAAATTTCTTATAAGAATTTTTTTGTCATATATGCTCTATTTACTATTAGTAGTAAACATACGATGCAAAGCTATGTGCAAATGTTGGTTATTTTCAGCTGTTTTTTGTTTCTTTCTTACCTTCTTCTTGAGATTCTGTTTATTTCATTTCAATTTTTTTGAACACATATCATGTTTGTGCTGTACAAAGATGGCGAACTGTAAAATTGATATTATTATTATTATTATTATTATTAT